AACTCTAAGGACACCTGGCGCTGTGGAATTTCCATGACATGGCGGCATTTCATATCCCATACCATGACCACATCTGTGCGCCAAGTTCGATGACATTTTGTTGCTGCCTCTGAGTCAGTTAGGATGTTTACAAGGCTCATCAATATTCCTCACAGAGGATTTGCTACAGGCGTACCCATTGCATCCTCAGGCCATGCAGCATGTGCTCTCTGAACCGCTCAAATATCTGCTGAGATGTCAGGCATGCCTGCAGAGTGATCGGTTTCTGCCAGATGAAGGCTGACATTTTGCAGCAGATCAGATGCAACATGATGCCGCTGAATATATTTTCAGAGTTTCGAGCGTTGTAGTCCTACCCATAACGTAAAGTTGTGCTCTGCGTTAGTGGTACTGCATTAGAAAAAAGGTAAGCTTATTAATGAAAACTAGCGTTAGATGTGTATGCTTTTACCAGTCAACAATGAAAACGAATATCGTACTGCCTTTAATGAAGGAATGTAAAAATTGCGTTACGCTTCTCCTAACCAGCCGTAAGCCTGATTCATAGATAAGCCAATGTAATCATTATCACACGTTGGGAGAACGCAGCCTAATTATGCCGTATTAATATTGACTAAATATAGACTTAAAATATAAAATGTGTGATAAAGCAATACAATCCCTTGATCGGTATCGCTTCGTGCGTGAATCTGAACGATTTCGCTCGTGCTGCGGCGTTTTTAACACCTCCTCCAATGATCTGATAACGAGTGGGATGGTTACCCGGGCTGCCGGCTTACCATTCAGTCTGCATGCTAACTCGGTGTCAGATTTCGGCGGTCTGATGAGCCTTTGGTCTGGTTCTCAGATTCTGCTCCTGTTTATGCACCATTTACATGGATCTGCTGAATGTGTTCGCTACAATATCGGGAATGGGCGCATTAAGAACTCGTAAGCTGCAAGCTTTTATGGATATTTTTATATCGCGAATATGACAGGGTTAATATCTTCAACCGGCATTCCTCTATGTTATAAAAGATGTGATAAGCATGAAGCTATGGTCTTAGAGCGGGTTTACGATTTCTTAGCTAAAAGCGATGATCATTAGTATAACATTGCCTGGGCGATTATGGTTTGGATTGTAGTATCGGAGCTAGTCAGGCGTATCGGTTATCGGGTTTCAGGGTATGGTCAGAGCCAATTATGACATCGGCGCTGCCATAAGTGGTCCTAGGTAGTGGTCAATGAGTAGTCCAAGGTGCCAATGATCACTTCAACTACATATATTTCCACCGAGTGCTACCTGAAGGCGTGTTGATGAACCGTTCGCTGTGTACATCACTGTTATTTTTGTTCACTTATTAGATTAGGTTTATCCCGACCACAGGTGCCTCCTCTGCACATCTTTTCGCTGACTTCAAAAGTAACGCCACGGAAAAGAGCACGCATTGTCAACCGAACGATTACCGAATATATTAAGCTGTTAGTCAATTCAGTCACTATTTATTCTTGAGTTTGCACCAAATACTAATAAAGTTCAGGCAGGGGATTGCCCTTAAACTGGCCTAAGAACTTTTTCAGCTCTAATTTGTCAATGCTTTTCCCTACTTTCTTTCAAGCACCATATGTATGTATTCTAATTTGTACTGCAGTCATGCTCCATTACAAAAGCTCTTATTGACACTATCATGATATGGCTATTCCAACCTAAAAAAGAAAAAACACCTTCCTTAGCGTTTTCACCAAGAATTTAGGTGCGTCGGTCATTTATTTTCTATTTATATTTTTGCAGTGCCGGTGCAGGATCATGTTATCCGCCACTGATCAATGTCTGCTAATCCTTACCGGGCTTGGAGGATCCTCAGCAAACCGTTATACTCGAGCAACGTAACAGTATTACATTGTAATCAGTTCAGTATATTTTATTTAACAAAATACCAGCGCGAGCTAAGCCGATTGACCGCCATTTTATCGCACCGTCACTGCTGCTGAACTCTAGAGAAATATATAGCAATGACGGCGGATATTTGTTAAGCTTGGCATGTGCAGTTCATTGGATATCCACCGTTCAGACTCAGAAGAAAATCTACCCGAGATATCGATGGGCTGCATTTATTTTGTAATCAGCTGCTTCTTCAGTGCACCACGTGGCAGAGTTTAGACTGAACCATCAATCAGCTTCACTGGCGTGAGCACCAGCATAATGCAATGCTATTACATGCATAATGATAATAAAATATATTACATATATAAATATTACATACACATTACACACACATACACATATTACATACACATTATATATATAAATATTACATACATATAAATATTACATGCATAATGCGTAAGCTTTGTTTTACAGCAATGCAGAGTGGAGGACGGACAGATTGCCTTGGTGCTTGGACAGATATGAAAAATAATGGTATAACTCATCGATTCATCACTTTTTCGTTGGTCGTCTGGACAGATGGCAAGGTCCACCGCTGTCGGCTCGTAGGAGCACCTGCCGTACGGCTGCTGTTTTTGCACTTCAAAGGAGAAACCGGCGATATGCTAGTTGGACATATTTACATATGCAGCTTAAAAGTTTTCTAAAAAAAAATATCACATTTGTTCGTTTCATGAATCATTGTTGCTTTGATTTGTCTCGCAGATGACGGGTTACCTAGCCCTGGTGGCAGGGTTTTTTACAATGCTGCTTTGATTTCTAAATGCAACCTTTAAAGGCTCGATGGGCTTGATAAGCGGCTCTATTATTTTACGTTCATTTACAATTATGTCGTGTGATTAGGGAATGATTGACAACTACACCGAGGGTTTGTACTGGGAAATATATGACCGCCTTTAAGCGTGAAAGAGATGTGCCACAAGGGTCTCAATGCCTTTTGTGCATCGTTGACTCTTTGCAATCTCCTTTGAAATGCACATGACCGTTCAGAGTTTTACATGAAAGCATTTACAACCTTCAGATAAAAGGGAATAGCTGGTCGAAACCCGTATTTCTGGTTAGACTTGTTTTTCTGGTTTGTATTTCTGGTTTGACTTGTTTACCAGGTCTGATCGATTTCCGTTATCAGAATGCATATCGAGTAAATCGTTCAACAATCCGGTCGATTATTCTGTTCATGATCATAAATACCTGTGCAAAGGGTTGCATCACTGTTTCCGAAGACCGTATTTGTTTTCGTCAAGCTCATGCCTTTCTCGGAGTGATGAACTACCACTATACCAGAAGCTCCTCACTACTTCAAGAATATCGCCTGATGTTCTAACCGAATTATTTACCCACTTCTCAGCTGACCGTGCATTCACTATTTTGGTACGCACAGCTCAAATAATCCATGTACCGGCTAAGTCAACAGACCCGCGTCCTTTATCGCCATATCATTGAGCCTTATCCTTAATAAATATGCAAATCGTCCTACCCTGCCCTATCGTGCAGCGCGCCGAGCGGAGGCACATCAGGCGCGCTTATCTGGCGGTTATACGCGTCGTAACGACGGCCCGCAATCACAGGACGCAGCAGAGGCCCTCGCTAATTGTCTGGGTGGCCGCGGTGCCCGTTAGTGGGTATTCCCCCGGGCGGTTTGGAGTTAGAGATGACCGGGGTTATGGGCAGCTATTGTCGAGAGGCGCCGCCAACATGGGTGGCGACGTGCAGTATGATGAACTAACTAACTAACTGGTCATTCTCGTTTAGACCCACACTGAATATCGGCCTGTCTGTCCTTGGCCAAAGGTGGCTGAAAGATCACTCTGACTGCAGAAATGATAACATTGAAACACACAATGGGTAACTTACACAAGAATTGGGGGTGGGGAGGGATCGATGACTTAGATGAAGCTGATTCTAACTTCTATGTGAAATAGTTTTTTTTTTTTTACTCAGCATGTGAAGAAACATGCATTATACGCTTCTAATTTCCTTTAATCACTGCGATTTTATAAATGCGTGGCGAACTGAGTGGAAATGAGATTTGCGTAACTCAGCGTACAGAGAACTTGGGAATACACACCGCGTTCATTTCCCGCAGTTTCTGATGCGGCAGCAATTTTCAGCTCGGTCTGCCGTCTCGTGTTGTGTAATGTAACTGTGGGAATTTCTATCAGTGCGTTCCTCTGATGAAATGTTGTATGCCGTCAGGGCGCATCCTTGCAGTCATAGTGATTGAAGGATGATGTATAAAATGGCCAGAAGCAAAGAGAAAAAGGAAGTATTTAAAGTAGATGTTATTCACTGATTCGGTATATTCAGACGTATTAAAGTTGGCATCGCTTTAAAAACACATTTAACAGAAATGGTCGCGCTTTTAGCGCGTCCTTCTAGCTTCTGACACGTTCGAGTGTTTGTAGTCGGTCGCTTTTTCCAATTTATGAATGGGCCCCTTACCCCGAAATAAAACCTAAACCCAGCATTGACACCCGTTCATTTAACTTCAGCGCTTTACGCTACTTTATATACAAGTGGCTCGTGTTTCCAAAGAAGGGGAGGCCGCCGATCCCTTTCTAACCAGCTCGCCACAAAACCCACACAATCAATGAATGGAAGCGGATTGCCCCGCCGCCTCCAATTAACTCCTTCTAATAAAACTGCCGCGCTACGGTCAGGACAACCCGCGACCCTTTGCGGCATTGTTCGCGCCCCGCTGACCGCGCGCGCATTGTTCGCGGGTCACTTCCGCGCCAGTTCCCTCATCTAACCAACTCCTCGCGCGTGCGGCGTGCCACCCCCGCGCCACCGCCGCCACCGCCGCGGCGGGTCAACTGAGCGCCCCCCGCAAAAACCCGCAGGCCGCCGCGCGCGTGCGCGCTCCACCAATCACCAGGCGCGCTGCGGCGGCCGCCGCGTGACGTCTCGGCGTCAACCAATGGGCGTGTCGGCGGCGCGGCACGCCCGCTCGTCGCGCGGCGGCGTGCCGACCGGCCGGCGGCGCCTGGGGCAGCGCCGCGGGCGGTCCGGCCCGCCGGCGGCGGCGGGTTGCCGTCGGCGGCGGCGCGGCCGCTCAGTCGTCCGACCGAGCCGGGTGCCACGCGTGGCCGAACACCGCTCCCAGGTGCCGCCGACGACGGACGTGTCGCCCAGACGTGCTGAGGACGTGCGGAGGACGTGCTAGAGACGTGGTAGAGACGTGCAGGGACGTAGCGCGCGAGCGACTGTGGCTGCCGGCGGTCAGTGTCGGAACGGGGCGAGAGCGCAGCGCTCGGGTTGATGACGGATTTTCCACAAGCGGTGAGTGTGAACTTTGACTTTTTCCGGTGGCGGATTTGTTATGTTTGTGCTATCACCTCCCCCGCGTTTTGGCTAAGGTGCAGAACGGTGCTATTTCCTAGCCCCCAATGAGCCATTATGTCCGAAACAAAACACAAAATTTGACACACACAAAAACACAAGTCTCAAAATGATGCATCACGTAGTCGCTAACAATCAAATAATGCAGCTATGGACTGGATTTAGTTTGTACGACACCGGTGATCATTGCAGTAATTAAGATGTTGAGATGCCAAAAGCTCAGATGAAGATCTAATGTGAAGACGATACCCAGGTGTTGCCTACTAAAGTCACACCGCTAAGAAGGATGAAGTACCGAGCCTTCTACATTAGATACTGTTATCTCTAGATAAGACACAATGGAGGCGTAATAATCCTATCGTAAATAGAATAGATGGCCTCTTTTGCTGAAATTGACAAATGAGCGACCAGAAACCTGCACAAGACCAGTGACACATCTTTGTAACAGGCGATGAAGCAACAGGTTACATAAATAAAGTGTGTTTTAAATGTCACGTAGTCACGCAGGTCTTCGGTGTGCTTTATAAAGAAGTAGCTACCACGCAGACATTCAATGCATTTTTTATTTCAATCACGAAAAGTGCCCCTATATGAAATGAGGTCACAAATACCTGCTGTTAATAGCCTGTAATGTTTTCAGCGCTTCACGCTAAGTAATTTTAGATGGCTGAACGGCTGAAGAAATAACCAATGCTTTTAAAAGACACCTCATATGAAGTCATGCGCAACGGTTAAGATGAAAAGCAAAGGACACAGTCCTTATAGGGTTTAAGCATATGAGGTATTAGCATTTGCTGACACATGTGGAGCATGCCATTCATCCACAAATGGAAACTGGCTCGCGCAGCTCTGGACTCGCTCTTCCTGGAAAATATGACACGCTTCGGGTAATTGTGTCCACTGTGCATATCATCGAAGTGGTTTTGGAAGCTCTGCATTGAACTTAAAACTTAAGCTAACTTAAACGAGGCAAAACTGCCCAAGGAATAGCAAACACTATCAACTGAAAATGTACCTACATTTCATGAGTAGAAAATAGTGTTTAAATACGCCACCAACTTAAGTAAAATATGTAACATTTAATCCATGAGTTTCGGTCTTCACTGCGACTTACATATTAATCGTGTATCAGTAGCAGCGCGAAAGCCACTTCATTTGCCACCTCGCGTCACCGCTCAATAACTTAGTGCAACAAGTCTCCGCCCACCGTATCATGCAGAGGTAGCAACAGGCTCCTTCCCGCTCCACCCAAACAATGCCAAGTGCCACCCCCCCCCCCCCCCCCCCAGAGGGTCAGCCGCCCGACACCTGCCCCGAACATTGCCCTTCGACCTCAGGCTCCCACCCTAGTCTGAGTGAATCGAGATTCATTCGTGCCTGTGCTCTCATGTATCGCCGATGGAGTGGCTGGTTTTTACGACTGTCTGCCTGCTGACGGGAGGCGCTGCCGCATATAATGCGCGTTTCAGCGAGCGATAAATGCCCACAGCTCTGTCATATCGACACTTTACGAGCTCAGTCGACGACTTTCTGAACGGAGAAGCTTTAGGATTCATGGTTTTTGGGAGAGTTGAGTGAGCGATCGTTCGACAATGGTAGGGATATCGTGATGGGTTGTTGTGAATGCGTCGTGAGGCCATTTGTAACCGCGTCAGGCGCGCGCGGCGAAGACGTAACTCGAAAAGAATCCGCGGAATGGTGACGTAATATTGACCGCTACCCCAAACACCACCGTCTAAAAGGATAAACGTTGAAACATTTATCAACAATGAAAACCACTCCTGTGCCCAGCACGAGCCTGCTGCATCTTTAAACACTGTGTGTCGTAGCCTCATTTGCATGTACACTCTGAATTGTCTTAATCATATACGCTACCCGGTCTGTGACACGTCGTTGGCCACGATATTGTTAATATTCGCCGCCACCCGGACGTGTGGTTGCTCGGAGCCTCATCTCTTACTCACAGAGTGGCGCACCTGGCCGCGCCGGTATCGCCGCGCCGCGCCGCAACACGCCGCTTACACCGGTGCCGGCCAAATACAGTGCCGGAGGAGTGCTGGTGCCAGCCGGAGCGGCGGCGGGGGGGGGGGGGGGGCCTGCCGTGGTGTATCTGTGGTGTTCCGTGCAGGGGGTGGTAGGTGGGTCACTGCGAGGCCCAGACTGCAGGGTAAGAGGCGACAGGCTGTCTGGGCTGGGTGCAGCAAAACTGGCGGCTGTGGAACCCATGTTTGCGATGACGTTCCGCCGTCTACTCATCCATTCGTATTTTATGTAATCAGTAGTGTCCATGGCATCACCCAGATGTCATGGGACTAAAGGTTATGGCGATTCGCGTGATTGTTCTTTCTGAAGGAATTCTTGTTTGTGGTGACATCTACGTTGACCGCCGTTTCTCCAAGTATACCACCTCTGCAGTCCACGTATCACCCCAACACGTCTCTGGCTGCGGGCTTCCAGGCCATGAATCCGTGACTGTCCGGCCGATAATGACTCTGTCCGGAGTCAGCGGGGAGGAGTGGGGGGACGGGCGGGGGGACGCGCCGCGAACGGGGAAACGCCCAGGGTCGGCCCAAGGCCGCCGTGCGGGCTGCTGAACCCGCGACTGCATAATGGCCGGACATACTGGGACGGCCGCTGCCTTTTGGGGAGACGCGCCTGCCGTCTGCAGAAACTGGGTTTGTAGTGTGCAGGTCAACCAGCTACTCCTGTGCATGTTTTGTGGTCACTTAAAAGTCTAGGTAAGAACTATTCATATAGCGGGGAAACCGGATGGCCGAGCAGTTAATTACGTGCAAGGCGCTATAGTGTTTCTCATGGAATATAGAACGATGTCAGTAAAATTTGATTTCAGATCTAATTACTGACTTCGTCAACGCGTATTCGCGACGCGGCAGCTCGTCGCCCAAGGCTACCTGAGCCGGTGTGAGTCTCTAGTTCCGACTGTAATTAATACTGGACACCTGGGTACGAATGACTGATGGCCAGGCACTCCAACTGCGGTGTTCGTTTCTCCAATCGACCACGGCGAGACGGCGTTTTATCGTGTGGGAACAAACCCCACGCCAATCGACTGGGCTCGGAATATCGACGCGGAAGCTAGCCGCGTCGAATTGGGTCGGTGTAGCGGCCGCCGAAGGCCCGTCAGTCCGTGATGGATTCTTCCGTCCTTCCGCTCGACCAGGTAAACAGGGACGTTTGGGCGGACTGATTTGAGAACTGGCCGGAGGCTTTTCTCACCCGACAGCGATCGCCGCTACTGCCCCCGGCAAGGATGCTTGGAGCCATTAGTTGAACGGACAGCGGCGCTGTGAGGGGCGCTGGGTTTAGTCTGAGGTGGAAATCACCCAGTCTGAGTCAACGCCCAAACCACAGACACGCTCTGATTAAACGGACCGTGCTCGTGGCTCGCGCTGACGAGATTGTTCCGCTTGCGCCACAGCGCCGCCCTCCAAACCGGCGTAGCCCCTCATGATTCACTGAGAAAGTGTCGTGCTCGTGCTGGCGAAAAGCGTAGCGTAAGGATAATTAATGTTTGTGACTGGTTGCGCGACAGGCGCCGAATCATGGAGTCGTGTCATTGCCACCCGCCACCACTAGTCTGATGGCTATCTGTCTCGTGCCTTACCGAGAAAGGAGCCGGCCGCCGGTCCGCCGCGCCGGCCAAAGACCCACATCTGGTCGACAGCTATAATTTGGGATCGATTAATTGCATGACCTGTCCCCACTGGGCAGGTACCCGCGACTGAGGCGCACTGGTTCCCAGAACACTCACTCATGCATCATTAGGCTCATTGGTATCTCGGGCAGGTAACGACACGGGAGCCTTGGCAAACACCGCACGTGCATCTCAATCTTTGACAGCCTTCGTTCATGAACAACCGACGACCGAATTTCGCCTTTATCACTCGTTGTTCATACGTGCGTTTTGCTGTTTACATTACACGCCAAATTGGCCTTGTGGCTCGCTAAGTCGTGCTGTTAGGCGGCACGGGTCTGGGTCAGGCCGCCAAGGTTGCGCCCTGGGCTCCACCTGGGCTGGGAGGCGGCCCCGCAGTAAGGAACGCCGGCGGAGGCAGCCATGCGCGACGAACATTGCTCCGCACACTGACCCGACAGGCGGCGGCGGCGGACCTGTATGCAGATGCAGCCGCCGCCGCCGCCGCCGCCGCCGACTCCGGAGCTACCCCTACGCCGATAAAGTATGCCGCGCGCGTCCAGCCTAGCCACCGGACGATCTCGCGTTTGCCGACATGTCAGAGCGATGTTTGAGGTGTCGTATACTCTGTTTGAATCAACACGCCGCCTTAGAGCAGTCTTTGTGCCGAGATTAAGGGTAATTTACCGAGAGAGATGGTGGCGTGTATCACGATGAAGCGAAGAGGCTTCTTGAGAAGCCTGGGAGCGGAGTTCCGACGGACCGGCGTCTTTGAGTCAGTCTTCTCCGTGACACGCTCACCGTGACGCCGCGTCACACGATGATGGTGACCTTTTCGTGACGTTGTTCCAGACGAGAAGCTGTTCCTCAATTCCGTCACTTGGGCTACGTCTAGCTGTCTCTCGCCAGTTCAATTAAATGCTAATGTCGCGGCACCTCGCTACCTGAAGTTTTTCACGCCTAGTCCATTATCACTCGCAGGTGATTGAATTAGCATCGCTGCGCCTCCACTAAATAGCCACTCCTGAACGTGTGTTCAATATCGAGTCAGCGCTCGCAGTAACTCCACAGGACTCTATTGCACAGCTTGCTCGACTTTCCTTGACTCCTAAGAAGCTGTCATGACTCTCTGACAAACCGAGTTGTAACTCCTCAAGCAGCAGCGGTGTCGTGTCGTTTTACCATGCTCCCGCGCAGTGTAACAAGCCCTCCCGCCGGCGGCACAGTGCTCGCGTGTCACTCGGACTCGTGTCCTCGCGCGCGGGAGGTCCCGAGAAGAGAGATG